CTCTGCCATGAGCCCCTGACCCCAACTTGCTCTCCCAGCCCTTTAAAAAAAAAAATGTTCTGACTCACCATCTCCTGCCACCCACTGCCCCATGCTTCATGACGGGCTCTGCCATGAGCCCTGAGAAGCCCCAAGGCCACTGCAGCATCCAGTGAGTCAGGACTTTTTTTTTTTTTAAAGAGCCGGGATGGGCAGGGCAGGCATGGGGGGGTTGGCAGAGTGGGCAGGGGTCACAGGGGCTGGGGGAGCAGGCAGGGGATGGGGCCCAGTGGGGGTCCCTCCCACGGCCCCCTCCCTCCTCCTCCAGCCCCTCTTCCCCTCCCCCCTACTTACCAGCATGGAGTCTGGGTCCAGCTCCCTGCTGCAGCAAGTGGGGACTGCCTGAATCACCGAAACTCTTTGAATCTTTTCCAAATAGATTTGGAGAGTTTTGAATAGATTCAGACCTTTTCATTGGTCTCCTGATTTGATTTGGGTTTGGAGGTTCAGCCACCGAATTGGACTGAATCTTCTCTGAATTGAATCAGCACCTGAAGCTTTGCACAGCCTTAATCAGCTGCACCCTAGTCTGCAGTTACAAGTAGAGAAGAGCTGAAATATAGGACTCTTCCAGTCTCACTGGGCAGGGGGACCTCCAAGTGGCTGGCTAAGGACAGGATGCAATCTGGTTACATAATCTCAGCAGGGTTCTTTTAACTATGCAGGTTGCAGCAAACTTGCAGCACTCAAATGCACATGTAAATAATCTTTATATCACCTGACTTGATCTTGAATCACTTTACTTTCCTTAGGAAGCTTTCAAGTGATCAAACTGTAGCCTTTATTAGAAGTCTGTCTTACCATCAAGGTTTTTCTTTCTATCCTCTGATAACTTTCTCTTTATTCTCCTACTCAATATTATTTTCCCTTTAAATGAATCCAGCCATTGCTGTCAGTTCCTCCTTCTCTCGCTCCGTTTGCTGCTTTTTGACATAGTGGTGAGAAGTGTCTTGCCCAGGATGGCTTAGATAACAATATTTAAATGGAATGACATTTACATTTCAAGGCGTACTTTTGTAACAAATCAAGGGCCATCTGGGAACTTCATGGATGTCACCATATTGCATAGCACAGATGCTTGATACATTAGGGAACAGCAGGAGTAGAACTGTGATCTGCCTGATCCAAAAACTCAGGTCCTTAAATTAGAAGACTTTCTAGCTGTTAGCAAAATAGTACATGGCTGACCAGTTGTGGTTCTACTCTGTGCCTCTCCCCTCACATGCGAACCAGAGGTCCTATGGGAAACTGCATCATGTAATAAAGGACTGTTTCATCATTGAGATGCACAAGTCTGCTAAAGTGAAATTCATTGTGCTGCATTCATTCTGTCACTTCCTAACTTGGGACTTGGCTGTCTTAATAGCACACTTTCATTTATGTTTTGTGCTGGTTTTATTTACATCACATAGTAGACCTAGCCAGTGCTTTACAAGACACTGCACTTGACCCAAAGTGCTTGTATTCTCTCTCAGTCAAAAAGTAATGCAGGGCAACAGTTCAGTTCTGGGCAGCTATAGAGGGATCCTTGGGGAGGAGATTAGTTCTCTGATTATCTCTCTGCCCTCCCCTCTGTCTTTTGCTACTTGCTTGTACAATGGGGCCTTGATCCGTGACTAGAGTTCTTAGGTGTTACTGTAATATATGACAACCAATAACTATCCTTTCCTCCTCCCCCTCCTAAGATTCCTGTATATTGTAAATGGCGAGCTGGGACTCTTCCACCGTGTATTTGTACACTGCCCAGCATAATAAGGCCCTGGTCTCAGTTAGGGCATCTAAACACTAACTGAATACAAATAACAACAACAGTTCATACTGCTGTGCTCAAAATTAAGGCTTAAATGAGGCTGTGGTCATTTGGAGGGTCATGCAGGCAGCATCCTCGGACAGTTTCTTAATCTTGTGCTGTGACAGGAGTGCTAGCTAAGCTGGGTGCTGTGAAAGGGAAGTGAGCAGGGGGTCTTGAATGGTCTGTGCATAACTGAAGCAGCTATGTTCAAACTGCAGTTCCTTTATCCTTGGAGGGGCTGTTGCTGTCAGGATAAGAACTTCACTTTTAATGTGCCCCATTAATCACAGAAACCAACAGTCTGATAGGCAATATTCAGCATATCACCTTGTGTCGCACTAACAATAGGGCTAGCTTGAAACTACTGTACCCCAATAGGGTGCATACTGTTCCATCCTCTCCTCCCCAACCATGCTTCACTTATACTCTGAAGGGAGGAAGAAATCAACAGATCGGCACCTCTGCTTCTTCAACCTGTTTAATGTTTCTAGCTGGAATTTCACTGGTGTTACAGAAGTTTGGCTTCGGCACATGTGAGCTAGTAGAAGAATGCCAATAAAAAGACTGGGCCTTTTGTTCCGGGCCCCAGTCATATGACATTGGCCATAACTGAAACTGGTCATGTTTCTGCCACATATGAGTGGTCTTTATTCATGGACTATTGTTTTAACAAGGGCAAGGAGGAATAAAAATGTGTGTGATGATGCAGTTTAACTTAAGCACCACTAGATGCCCTGAGAGCCCTTTGATTCAGTGTTTGTCTGCTTTCTTTTGAGGATTCAAACTGTTACTAGGGAAGCAAGCAACAGATACTAGGCTAAGTCATGAGAACAATAGCAGTTTGGCTGTTGGGGTATATTTTTAAGATTAAAATAATATCTGCTATATAAATGTATTAAATTTAAACACAGAAAGGAAAGCAGCGTGCTTATTATAAAACTTATCAATAATGGGTGATCTATATTACAAAGTTGAAAGAAGGTTCCTCAGGGCCATGCTGGTAGAAGCCAAGAAATTAATATTAGTAAGATGAAAATCTCCTGATTACCGAAATAATAGATGGTTCTGCAATATCAGTGAGAAATTAAGCAGCTCTAGCAGAATTATTCTCCAAGGTATAGAACGCAATAAGGGGTGCTTAATGAAATGAGCCAAATTCTGCTCTCATGTACGCTATGGTAAATCTGGAGTAAATCCATTGACTTCAGTGGAATAAATCCAGACTGACATCAGTGTAAGTGGGAGCAGCAACATACTCAATAAAATCTTAGTTCTACAAATTGCTGGGCCAAGTCCAACATAGTCCTTAAGGACATATATACCTGTAATCAAGTGCATGGATGCCATTTTTTACATCAAGAAGAGTATGCATGTTCTTTAGGCTAAGCATATGCTTAAATGTTGTGGTGTATCATGGCCAAAGGGCCCAGTACATTGCAGGATAGAGCAGCAAGGATCTGATTTAGTGTGATATAATGTTAAGCACATGAATAGATCACTTGTACTCACTATTCACATGCTGAAGTCCTTTGCTAGGACTTAAGCATGCAGATTCCAAAGCTCCATGCTTTCATTGGAGCTTTAGAACCTGCTCCCATATCTGCTCAGATTAATGGATATCGGTCTACTGGTTTCAACAAGCTGTGGATTAGGTGCTAAATATTACACCCGGTAAAGCAGAACATTTAAAAAAATGTGCGTGTATCCTAAGTAAGATCAGGGGGTCAAGTCCCAAGGTTTTGTAGACTGCCATAGCTCTACTGACGTCAATAACGCTATACCTCTATGTGCTTGCTGACTGGTCTAGCTCATTATGCTTAATGAAGATGCTTTTCCACTTATAGTGTACAACAACAACTTATCTCAAATATTCTCCATGTCCTTCACATGTTGAAGGAATTTTTGTGACCTCTGTTTTAAAGGTGGGTTAACTGAGGCATAGAAAGTTTAGCTGATTTACTTAAAGCCACACAGAGAATCAGTGTTAGAGATGGGAAAGCAGCTCAAGTATCTGTTGGGTTGACACTGACATTACCTTGTTTGGACACTTGCAAGAGCTCTCTTTCCTTTTTCTTTCTATGATAAGGAGCTCTTTTGACCTGTTTGATCTGTGACAGAACTGCAAGTGGTAACACTGATATGAAATAAATAATCACTTTCTCCTTTCTAAGCAATCAGTTCCTCAGCTCTATAAATGCAATAATTGTGTAGCTGGGGGTGACTTTGTCCCCTCTCCATGTTTCTCATCACTACAATATTTTATCATTGTAAGATGCACTCTTTACCTCCATCCACAGCTTCAGGGTCCTTGTGTAGCTTTTGCCTTTTCCGGGAATTTCACAGATAAATCACTGGGTATGAAGTTCTTGAAATTGTCCAGAGCCAATCCAGACTAGAATAAAGTGGTAGGTAGGTGATCCCTCATGTACATTTTTTTTTTAAACGGCCACACCTCTCAGTCAAGTTAGAAGCATAATGTAGCTGTATGGCAACTGGAATTGTGCATACATTTATGATGGCTATGTTCACAAATGATTCATGCATTCATCCACATCTGGTACCTCCTGAAGATCTGACCTTATTGCTTTCACAATGGAGAACTGGAGCCTGGTATCTTTATTTTTTTTAAAATGCAACTTATGTGGTATGTACTTCCCTTGTGGAACACAATATATTGAAATGGCATTTGAGAAAGTCACTCACTGATTACTGAGTGCTTGGGATAAACAGATGCTTTCCATTCTCCACAGAATTCTCATTTCAAATTTGCATACGATGGAAGTTGCCCAGGTTGGAGGTTTGTTCCTGACACAGGCAGAGATCACATTAGCTCTGTGTCATGAACCTAATGCCGATTCTCTGACATGCTTTTCTCAGTTTCCACAGACTCTTCCTCCCAAACTGAGCATGTCTCTCCTCAACTCTTTTTTTTCTACTTGCTGCTGTTGCTGCACATTCTTCAGTTTTCTTTCCCTTCCCACATAACCATTCATCTCCCACAGCACCTTAAGGGTCCTCCTTTTTCCAATATTCCTCCTGTCAAAGGGACATCCCCTTTGTGCAACAAATGTTACTATGCCTATGCAAACATAACAAATATTGAACATAGGACCTTCACTCTTAAAAGAACATAGTCCTTTATCTCTTGACTTACAGGTAATTCCCTTACCTGAAAGCTGTAGTAGACTCCTGTTCTCTTATGCAGACAAGCATTAGAAGCAGACAAAGACTCAGACTTTTCCATAGTGTGTTGCCAGACACTAGACAGTGTCATAGAATATTTATTCAGCAAATTAATATTTTGCTTTTCCCTCTCTGGGCTCTGCAGAAGCTGCTGCAGTTCACAAGGTTATCCAGATCACTGTGGCCCACAGCTGGCTCCCATTGGGATGCAGTAATCTTGTCAACCCAGGTGTTCCTTTCTTGCAATAAATTGCCTTCTCAGAGGAAAAAAAAAAGCAAAGAGAACGCTTGGTTCTGTTTGCTTGGAGCAGGACAGTCTGGTCTGAATCTGCAGAAAAAAAGATTGCCTAGGAGCCAGGATAAGGAAAATCTTGCTTGATATACATTCTAGTGGGATGGGCGGACCTGGATTTTATTCAAGCTTTGTCCTTCTAAATGAGCAATCTGTGTGCTGCTTTATTGACTTTCACCTGTGGAGAGTGAGACAGAGCCCCAGAGATTCATAGATTTTTAAGGCCAGAAGGGACTATTACACTCATTAGTCTGGTCTCCTACATAACACATGCCATAGATTTCATGTAGTGATTTCCGCATCAAAGCCCAATGACTTCTGAAAGAGTAGGTAAGGGGACTCTGTCAAGTTGTTTTATTGAAGCTGTTCTGCACGGTATTATGCAAAGGATTCAGTCCATTAATCCATAGAGCAGATCATCCAGGTAAGTTAGTCCCTGGATCTCACTTGTATTGTCTCTTGGTGCCATTTGCCCATGCATCTCCTTTCAAAGTCCATAATCATCATCTTCAGCATCCCATTTTAACGCTGGCATTAACTGAGCTCCAGGGAGTAATTGATTTCAATGAAAAGTCCAGATAATTATTTTAATTAAAAAGCCCCCCAAACTTTTGTTTGATTACAATGAGAAATGAATATTATAAATGAGTGTTAAACGAGCTTAAAATTAAAGGTCCTGGATAGGCTGATGACTAATGTTTATTCTTTATCCATGGAGCTGGGAGAAAAGGGGCTGCAAGCTTTGTTCATGCAGCTTCCTTGGCATTTTGCTTCTTGAGTTGCTGGGTTTCCTAGGGGTCTTGATTTGTGAGCAGTAAGATTTGTAATGATATATGATATGGGTAAGTACATCTTGCCTAAGGATTCCCTCTGTGGGGACCCCTGTGAAGTACAACGATGAGGAATTGGGGGCCAGACCATAACTGGTTCCTGAATGAACTCAACAGGAGTGAAGCAGCCAAAGAACCTTCTTGCCCCTTCATCCCCTGTGCAGGGGCCGGTCAGAGCTGCTACCTTTGAGCTTCTCTAAAGGTTAGTGCCTTAGCAGGCATTAACCTTTCCAAAATGGAGGTAGGAAAGGGGTCATACTGTTGTCTGAGGAGGGGAATACGTAGTAGGTATGTCTACACTGCTTCCTAAGCAAGTGTGGGCATGTCACTGAGAAATAAGCCCGGTATAAGAAATACTACCTACTGAGAAATAAGCTCTGCTTGTGCCCAGGCTTGCAGGTTTGCAGTGGATGACTTGGGGTGGCTCTGGGTATGTGTCCCAGCACTATGCCCAGGTGCTCTGTCTTGGGGAAGTATGGGCATTGTGCAGTGCTGTGCACCTGGGTGGTTCTGAGCCATGCATTTTGGGGTGCCTTCTTCATCAGCATGCCCAGACTCACTCAGGATGCAGTATAGACACCCCCATTAAACCACTCTTTGCTGTGGTTTAATGACATAACATGGCTTTTGGCAAGGTCCACAAGGCACCAGCCAATAGCAGAAATAGATTATCAATCTTGTTTGATACGATCTGGTGTAGTCTAGTCTGCTTTTCAAAAGAAGGATAGAAAAGAGTGTAGTCCCCAGGCCCATAGTCAGTTGTCAGTCCCTCTTCCAACCTTCCCAATTAGCACTGGATGCAAAGTCTATTGGGATTCTTGTCTATGTAAATGGAAAATGCCTGTAAAAAAATCAGTTTAGTAAAAATTGGACTGTGAAGCACTATTTCCTTTGTCCCAGGCCACTGAACAGCCATAGGATGACAGTATATTTTAGTAGAATCACCCCTGGTGAGGTTTAAAACAGCTCCCTGGGTAAAGGTCTCTGTCTGAGTTTCAGACCCTCCTGAATCGCTCAGTCCCTCCAATACTTAAGCATCTGCAAGCTCAGTCAACTTTTTCCAAGGCAGCAAGACACACATGGAGAAGAGCTCCTCGAGTAGTTTTCCTTTTCCTTTTTCCTTTTCCTTTTCCTTCTACTTCCAAAGGGATATGTAGTGAAACAGAAATAATCTTTAGGGGGCTGCTGTACCTTTGGGAGGGGTGTGGGTAGGGCAAAGTAGGATGCATTTTTGAACTACATCCGAATTATCTCCTCTTGCATGTGAATTCTGTGACACCAGCTACTGAAGGCAAGTCCTGTGGCTGTCCCCTCTGCTCTTATCTTGAGGATAGATGCTGATTGAAATGGGTTTAAAAGCATGGTTCCTAATTGACTAAGATGAAGAGAAGCTCAACTTTCCCCAGCCAGCTGCCCTGAAGTCTACTGTGCTTTGTTGATCTCGTTGCTCAGCACTGTCAGACAGGAGGTTTTGGGCCAGTGTTCCAGTGTGAGATGTTTTTAAAATGAAAGGGAACTGTGCTGTCCACTGCTCTGCTTTTCAACTCAAAGGTTTCACTCTGGCTACAAAAGACCCTCCCCTCGGTATTGTAATCCATCTAAGTGTGTTCAAGCTCTTACTTCTTTCCTGACATCAGATCAACCCTTGCAGAAGTTTGCCTCAGCTGGAACTCAGCTGCATGTCCTATACAATTACAGTCTATTTAAGGATGAGTTAACTAGTAGGCTAGGAGCAACAGATAACTAATAAAAGACACTGCTAAAATCCTAACACTTATTGGCGGTTTTCAGCAGGGATTGGATGGGAAGGACCCTGCCCACAGTGAGTCCTTAGCAGTTCCTGCTCTGATGCACTTGGGATTCTCAGTAGGGCTGTAAAAACCGGTGTACTAAACATTCAGTGCTTTCACTCTTGATGTCTGCTCCCAGCCAACTGTACTATGTTTGTTCTGCTTTAACAAGAGGAAGGAGACCATGTCTTCATGCTGAGAATGTGGTTAGCCACTAGAGGGTGGTGGTGGATGGAATAGAAGAAGCAATTATGTCTTAAATATGTGTGGACAATTTTATCTAACATTATCTAGAAGCGTATACAACAAGGAAACAAAGGATTTTCATAAGGGGAGTTTAAGGGGGTAGAAGCAGGATAAATTAAGGAAAGGAACACTGAGACTGAATATGAAGAAGTGAGATCTAGTAGGCAGTGGAACAGTTATCTGGGGAACTGCTGGAGGCTCCATTGCTTGGTCACTTAAAAAATAGACTAGACAAATTGTATGATAGGGAGTTGGTCAGCAGTAACAGAGGGATTTTGTGGCTACAGAACCTATCCATCAGGTTCTGAAAAGTGAATAAAGTGCCTTGAGACCAAAGGGGGGGAATCTTAAATTGATAGAGCCCCCAAGGCATTGTAAATGCAGTTAGCTAATGATATTCTAGAGGTAAGGGAATTTCATAGAATCATAGAAAATTAGGGTTGGAAGGGACCTCAGGAGGTCATGTGGTTCAACCCCTGCTCAAGGTAGGACCATCCCCAAGTAGATCATCCTGGCCAAAGCTTTGTCTAGCTGGGTCTTGAAAACATTCAAGGATGGAGCTTCTACCACCTCTCTGGGTAACCTGTTCCAGTGTTTTACTACCCTGTTAGTATGAAAATTCTTCCTAAAATCTAACCTAAACTTCCCTTGCTGCAACTTGAGACCATTGCTCCTTGTTCTATCATCTGCCACCAGTGTGAACAGTTTAGCTCCATCCTCTTTTGAATCTCCCTTCAGGTAGTTGAAGGCTGCTATTAAATCCCCTCTCAGTCTCCTCTTCTCTAGACTAAATAAGCCCAGTTTCCTCAGTCTTTCCTTGTAAGTCATGTCCCCCAGGCCCTTCACCATTTTTGTTGCCCTCTGCTGGACTCTCTCTAATTTGTCCACATCTTTTCTGTAGTGGGGGGCCCAAAACTAACACAGTACTCCAGATATGCTGAATAGAGGGGAATAATCACTTCCCTTGAATCTGCCGGCAACACTCCTACCAATGCAGCCCAGGATGCTGTTAGCCTTCTTGGCAACAAGGGCACACTGCTGGCTCATATTCAGCTTATTGTTCACTGTAACCCCCAGGTCCTTTTCTGCAGAGCTGCTGCTTAGCCAGTCAGCCACCAGCCTGTACTGGTGCATGGGACTGTTCTGTCCTAAGTGCAGGACTTTGCAATTGTCCTTGTTGAATCTCATGAGATTTCTTTTGGTCCAATCCTCCAGTTTGTCTATGTCACTCTGAATCCTAGCCCTCCCCTCCAGCATATCTACTACTCCCCACAAGTTGCTGCCATCTGCAGACTTGCTGAAGGTGCACTCTACGCCATCTTCCAGGTCTTTGATGAAGACATTGAACAAAACTGGCCTCAGGACCGACCCTTGATACTGGCTGCCAACCAGGCATTGAGCCATGGATTACTACCCCCTGAGCTCAATGCCCCAGTCAGTTATCTATTCACCTCACAGTCCATTCATCCAGCCCGTACTTCCTTAGTTTGCCTGCAAGAATATTGTGGGAGACCGTATCAAAAGCCTTGCTAAAATCAAGGTACACCACTTCCACTGGTCTCTCTGCATCCACAGAGCCAGTCATCTCATCACAGAAGGCAATCAGGTTGGTCAAGCATGACTTGCCCTTGGTGAATCCGTGCTGACTGGTCCTCATCACCTTCTCCTCTGCTTAGAAATGGATTCATTGAGGATCTACTCCATGATTTTTCCAGGGACTGAGGTGAGACTGACTGGTCTGTAGTTTCCTGGATCTTCCTTTTTTCCTTTCTTAAATGTGGGCACTATGTCTACCCTTTTCCAGTCATCCAAGATCTCTCCTGATCACCATGAGGTTTCAAAGGTGATGGCTAGTGGCTCTGCTGTCTCATTAGCCAACTCTCTCGGCATCCTCAGATGCATCCCATTCAGCCCCATGGACTTGTATATGTCCAGCTTTTCTAAATAGTCCCTAACCTGTTATTTTACCACTGGTGGCTGCTCACCTTCTGCCCAAACTGTG